AAGATAGGTGCTTCTTTGAAGCGGTAAGGGTGAGCGCAAAGCGTGCGCTCATTAGATCATGAGCACAATCCAGACAGTCTTCAACTGATGTGCGCCATCTTTAGCTGATGAAAATGTGGTAAATTCGCGTCCAGGTCATTGCAGAATTTGTATGTACTTGATGACGCAGTGTGAACGTTTATGCTGGAAAGCAGTGCTGCGAAAGTATAGGTTATGGTCGGCGCACCGCTGTTCGGCGTGCATCGGCTCCGAAACAGCCTGCCATGTGTGGTTCAGTCTGAGAAACGGCCCACATGAGCATTCAGGTCATCATCAACGATCAAGATGTCAGTATCCTTCTTTATGTGAAGAAGAGATGAGAGCGGTAGATAGGAATTGTCCTTGTTAACCTCCGAACTGCGTTAGGTAGGGGCATAAACAGGCGATGGAAAGGCACCTTGTCGGTCCTTATTAACTACAATAGAGATTTGAAGTCGCATTGCACACATGCGACTGTTCACCGGCATCCAGTCGAGTAGGTTACTTTTAGCATTTTTGCTGAGGTTGATACCAACACCGTAACTGCCTTGGGCCATTGACTGAGTATCGCCAGAAACGTGAAGAGTGTAGTCATTGTCGTCAGATCCAGAACCAGATAGTCGAAGATTTGTCACGACGCTGTTATCTTGTATATATGTTTCGGAGAGAGCACGCACCAATACTAAGAGAATGAAGAGTGCGAGTTAGTGCCGCCTGCCCTCCAGTCTGACCTGGAGTGCGGACGTTAAAAATGCTGTGAAATGAGACTCCAGGTTTGATGGAAGAGCTACATGTATCGATATCGGCAGCAGCGAAATCAGCGACAGTCTCTCCTTCAGTTACTAGAAGAGAGAAGAGAGAAAAAGAAAAGTGTTGCCGATTGGGCCTATAGGGCAGATGATACTCTTCTGCTGACCATTCCGATAGGTGGGTTTTGTCCGAGGTGCCCTACTCATAGCCTTTGATACTACATTCTGATGCACAAGGCAGTGCGGATATGGAGGTTCGCTTGTTAGTCTCCACTCGGAGTCTTTGGCCCACAAACCTGACCCACATGGCAGCGGGGAATATGGTGTTTCGCTTGAGAGACTCCGCCTTGAACTTTTGGTTCAATACCCTGATCCACACGGCAGTATGGAGCAAGTCCAGCTCGAGAGTGGAATTGCAGAGACCCATTTGGGATCTTTCTGAGGCCTTTTACACAGCCTTTAGAGATTTAGGACAATACACGTGTTTTGCGACCATATCTCGCACCTGCGACCACGGCATGTAGCAGAGGGGGGTTGGTGTATGTAAGCATGGCACGCGGATGAGCGGACCGAGAGGGAACATTTTATGCGTCGTCAGGATGTATCTGTATTATGTAACCAGAATACAGGTGTCATTGAGCCGTGAGTAGCTCCACTGCGCAACTGGGGAGACAATTCGTCTTCACAGTATTTACTAAGCTATGCACTGGGGACTCGCAGCTAGTGAGATTAGGATAAATGTGACACAGAAGAAAACGAATAGTCAGTGAAGTCTGATGCAAGATTGGTGAGTACTGCTACCGCAACAACGAAAGGTGGATATATCTGCCTGATTTTGACTCATAATTACTGCATTATTAACCCACACTATCTAATTTGTCATTTCTTCCTTAATGTACTTATCATTTTAGCTTATTAATATGCTGCTTATTTTATAGTACTTAAGTATATTATGGTTTTCCCTCCTGATGAAACTGCCGGTTTCTCACACCTGGCAGTTATCAATTAGGCAACGTGGTCGTTCTTCTCCTGCAATCAAATCATCATCGACAACGACCGTACATTTAATCTGAAGTGACAGTTCAGGTCAGCTCAGTTCAGTCTCCAGTGTCGGAACAAGCGTTCGCCTAACGAGCGTCTCTGTTCGTGTGCCAGTAAGCGAGTGTAGGACTAGTTAATACTAGTCCCAGACGGTGCGCGAAATTAAGCGCGGATATCAGAAGGCAATTGGAGTCGGACACAGCGGACTGTATTCGATGGGCTACAAGAAGACGCGGGCGGATGAAGCAAGAAGGAGGTACACGTTAGCGCGGGAACTTACAAGGCGGTAGAGTGTCGAGCTGGTTGTAAGGAAGCTTAAAACAAGAAAGAATAATGTACAATCGGTCAATTAAATTGTACATGAAAGATAGCAGTTGTCTTTTTGGGCACTACACGAGCCATGGTTCCAGGCACTTCGACGTTCAAGCCACTTCATTTTTACAGACAAAAAGGTGCGAATAACCTTTCATAAATTCATGAAACTATCAGTGACTTCCTATCCATCACGGGCTATTTGGTACTACATCCACTAATCTCACTGCACTTCCGGAAACAGAATCGACATCTTATAGGCCTCTATCATACTACATTTCACTAGTGCAGGGGAACTAATCTCCTAATACGTACTATACGAGTCGTGCAAAATTTCGCTCCGATATCCAATCTGGACCTCTTGAGCTTCAGATGGTATCCCCGCATGTGATCCGACATAGCTAGTAAGCTCAATGTCACTGGGACCCTCCATAGTCTTAAACGTTTCTACTAGATCTCCCTTGTTCTGCAGTGCTACGATGAGAACAAGCTAAAACAATCCAGTCAATCAACACACGCTGGCCTTTAATCATTCCGGTGCTCAGTCTTGGTAAATCGCGCTTCACCGTCAGTTTATATGTGCCAATGATTGATAAGTGGGGAAAAGGACCTATGGCAAAATCTAAAAGCTCATGCAGACATTTAGATCGGAGACTAGCATGGATTACCAACAATACGCTGTCACAACCAACTGGCTGTTGTGCGAAAAGGTGCAATCAGCCTGTTAGCTTTCTTGCGGCTCTCTTTACTCCACATCCTACTCAATCTTAGCCAGTAGCTAGATAAGCGTCAGCACTGTTTAGACCGACTAATAAGAGACTTCAGATGCGCCATGTCCTGCAAAATTTCGTGTCAAGCTCAGGGTTCGTAAAGAAGACCTTTGCCTAGAAGATTAAGTGCACTGACCCCACCCAACTTAGTCTTTAGCAAATTCATTTCCCGCTTCCAGATTTTTTACCCCCTTTAGCCTTGCGCCATCCGGCATCTGACAAGACGGCACTTTTCGGTAAGCAGTGATTGGGCATACCTAGCAGTCCCACAAACCTGCGTGGCTTATTCAATATTATCTTCTAAAGAACTAATCTTACTGTCTCCGTTTAGTACTTGCCTGTGCTCACCAACGTTTCAGACAAATTGGGCCCAGTCAGACAATGCTCTGAGGATAACCATTAAAGAGTTGAAAGCATTTCAAATCGTCAAATCGAAGTGGTCAAGTCTCACTTTTGCAGTGTAGGACAGGAGTCTGTACGCGGCCTCTCAGATCAAGGAAGGTCTTCTGACGTCGCACCTCTCGCATGTTCAAGGCGATTCTAGCTTTTGCTATATGTTAACTAGCTTTAACAGTCACGCCCATCGCTGTTAAGAGAGCTGTCACGATTGGCGAATTCATCATCGTCATCAACAGCAGTACATCAGCCATTTGAACTGATGCTTCGCTGTCATAAAACCTTAACGACCTATGAAATAAAGAATAAGAAGAGAGAGAGAAGAGTGATTAAGTTGAAAACCTTAATGCCCTAAGCAAACATTCAGGCTCAAGGCGCCTACACCTTGTGTAGACAATGTACCGTCACAAACAGCTGGCTATCGTGCAACGATAAGGCGGCATCGGCGAGACAGCTTCCTTGCGGCTTTCACTGCCACGCGTCATAATCAGCCATTACCCCGCAGATAACTCAGCAGCAAACATTCTTTAAACAGGCAATCCGATTAGACAGCAGCAGACGCGCCACTGGTGTCTGCTGCGAGCCATGTCCCGTAAGGTCTCGAGTCAAGCACAAGGCGAGTCACGTGGACTCCAGCCCGGAAGGCGAGACGGATCAACGGCACCCAGTTTGGTCGTCAGTGACTTCATTTCCCGCTGCCAAGTCAGCTTATTTCCACCTCGAGTCATGCGCCACTCTAAACCTGTCAGACTAAACAAGGCCCTTCTAGGTAAGCGGTGACCAGGCATACGTAGCACGTGGCCGAGCCAAAGCAACTTATTCAGTGCTATCTGTTGTTTTAGGGAGCTATCATGATTATCACTACTTGGTACTCGCCTACGCACATCATCGTTGCGGACACGCTGGTGCCATCCGACACCAGCAATACTTCGCAGACAACGATGCTTGAAGACGCCTCAGATCTCCAAAGAGATGTGGGACCTCGGGATGGACCACATTATTAGTTAGAGACTTGTTCGAAAGTCGTGCAGTCAGTGATCCCGTGGCGCTCTGCTTTCGATCTCTTATTTCTAGTTAACAATATTCCGTCTCTCTTAACCCCTTTTTGTATCCCGCTTGCGTTTCACCTAGGTTTCCTCACCACTTATTGTTACCGTACCGATGAGTCATGGCGATTTAACCCTCGGCACTTCTGTGTCCTGGGTGTACTCGTTTTTCTGCACTGAATCGATATGTTCAATAGTTTAAACCCCCGGCTGTGGCACGCATTCTCATGTTTGACTAAGGTTTACTGTGAATATCCTTGGTCTTCCCAGCCAATGAGGCTGCATTCGACGTACAGACCGTTTGCTTCCTGCCCACTTTGCTCTGCGCTTATATATCGGGGCATTGCCAGTTAACATTATTATTATTATTATTATTATTATTATTATTATTAAGGTGTACCCCGGCCACAACGTTTCTCAATTCTCATGTTCAGCCACCCCTATTTTATCAATAGTGTGTAATAATGATGATAATGGCAAGGACGAAATCAGCATGAATTGTAGGCTTTGGAGTAAGCAAAACTCCAAACACCTTGAGGTCGTTAGGTTGTTTTTATTTGACAACGGAATCTCTGTGTTTCACGTAATCGTTCATTTACATAAGTGTTTACTGAGCTTGCGTGTTTATATCCACTATCAAGCGACTAACTTTAATATATCCTCATTAGCTCAAGTGAGTCTACGGTAACTCAAGAATGCATTCAAGCCTGCTATCATGGCTACCGGGAAGATTGCGGGGTGTTTCTGTTCAAGCGCCAGATTCTGTTGGTCGATTTGCAAACAACCCAATCCGTTCTCTCTATAACACCCGACAAAACCGTCTCTTCCTTTCTTGGAGTGAGTCGTTTTTTATTCTTATTGAGATGGTTTTTTACTGGCGCCCTATTAACCCCTTTAAATGCGACTAGTATATTTATCAAGTATTTCTTGATCGTTACGTTGTCATGCAATCGCCGTTGTTACCTGTGATTTGTTTCACTAGTCTTATCACATTTGTTTGGTACTCACTCCTTTACGCACAGCGTTGCATCACCAACTTGATGTACGCAAACCACTAATGGGCACGAGCTCTCAACGAACGGAAGGATGTTGACGTGGTGTACATCGATTTTAGTAAGGCGTTTGACAGAGCGAACCATGAGGTACTCCTTCGTAAACTGAGGACCTACGGAAACGGTGGCACACTACTTCAGTGGTTACACGGGTTTATTGTGATACGGAAGTTTAGAGTACAGGTCAATGACTACCTGACAGACTGGTTCCCATAGACCAGTGTCGTGCCTCAAGGAACTGTACTTCGGCCAGTATTATTTCTTCTTCATATCAGCGATTTCCCGCATTAGCTCCAGTCACTATGTGCCCTGTTCGCAGATGCTTTGAAAATCTGGAGGACCATTGAGCATCAGGATGATTGCGCTTGCCTCCAGCGTGACTTGGATCGACTGCGAGCGTGGTCCACTGAAATGCAATTCCCTCTTAACGCAAGCAAGTCGGTATTTATCAGAATCACCAGATGTCCAGCCACTTGATCATACACCTTGGACGACCAGCTGCTCCACCCTAACACATCTGTCAGAGACTTAGGCGTGCTTTCGCAACATGATATGAGATCACTAGAAAATACAGAGAAAATGTACCGTGCGGGACTTCGTATGCTCTGGGCATTAAGACGCAGTCTCTCCACATGGTCTGTAGAACCCGTCCTTCGTCTATTCACCTCGCTGATCAGACCAATTTTTGAATACGGCGTTCCAGCTTCCCATCCGATAACCCATTGGGAAACTGAAAAGCTGGAGAAAATACAGCACATCGCAACTAGAATGATACACAGTCTACGAAAGCTTCCGTATGAAAAACGTTGTGAAATGCTCGGACTCTGCACACTATCCTACCGCCGAGTAAGAATTGACCTTATTATGACCCATCGAGTACTACACTTGAATCACTTCCCCATTCTGTAGCCAATATTTCACCTTTGGAAACCCTGTAATATCCGAGGACACCGTTACATACTCAGGGTCTCATGCGTGAACAGGGTATCACATCAGCTTTGTATAGAACAAAGAATCGTAAATCTATGAAATACGCCACCAAAATGACTAACCTAGGCCGATTCTGTGAAGCGTTTCAAAACACGTGTCGACGATTATTTTGAAACCTTTGCTTTTGTGAAACAGTGCACACAATACAACAAATACACCTTATACCCAGAAATAATGGCACCAATACGAATTCCGAGCCTAACAAGGATAAACGATTAACTGACAAAACACTACCGCTGACAATCTGCATTTAAATGCTTTTGGTTTTTCATAATTCACTCTCACTCTCATTCTAAATAGCTCTTGTTTTGCAATTCTAGCTAACTTGTATGATGATAATAATGATAACTTAGTGTCTTGTTAGCACATCCGTGCATCCGCCGTTACTAACGCGTGTAGGGACACTAGGTATTGGTCGTTGTTTTGAAATTATATTCTTCAAGTACAATACACCTCTGTACACGTACTTTCTGTTATGCAATTCCACCCGCCGTAAATATATAGCATTTTCTCGATCATACCTAGCAATCGCGATAAACCGTGATTTGATATTGTAGACCTACGCCCAACCTTGTTCCCTTTTGAGCACGATGGCGGTAACCTGTCATTTCTTCTGTAACCGTTTTCTTTCCTAGTTGTACAGTTGCCGTCTTCGCGACTTGCTCATTTGCCTGCACGAAAATGGTAATCTCAGCGTTTACGCTCGTCGCGGTTTGGCTTGCCCCTTCGAACTCGTTTCGGCTAATCGTCCTTCGGTTGTGTGTTCAGTCTATGACCGCCTTACCGAGCAGTCGCATGATACACTTGCGTACGATCTTGTGGCCCATGGGGAGCGCTCGCGCCGTCTGCGTCAATCAGTGCCCGTTCACCTAACGGTTGATCGAGCTAGGGAGGTTGCCATTGCGATTACAGCCCCCGAGGGCCGCATTCAGGTATTTTCAATAAGCTTTGTATCTTTTTCTGTTCCGTTATGTGTCCCTGTTAATTATGCGTCCGACTGATCGCTTTAATTTTTGACGATAATGTGGGATAATTTGCAGCTAATTGTGTGCTAGTCTTCAACAAGCAACCGACTAGTTTTATGGTATAACTGGCTTCTGCATCAATTCAGCAGTGCTGCTAAAATGTGCTCACTAAACTAAACATAACTCCGATCGCAAAGTATGCATGCATGTTTTATCTGATTCGGCGGAACTTCAGCTTAACTGCTTACTTTGCGCTATTATTCCAGCAGTCCAGATCATCGAACAACTGGAGCATCAAAATGATACCTGTCATTCTACATGAGTGTAAAGCTTTGTACGGATCTTGCAAAACAACTGAACTATATAGACTGCTCCGTCCCCGGGATTCGCTTCGCAGTAACACTCTCAGTTTTAACAGCATAATACTTGCGACGTCGAACCGATGGCTCACTCGAGAGAAGGGTCTTCCTTAGTACAACTTGGATTGGTCAGTACACGCATTTTCTTAGTTTTGTACCCATTAAGTACAAGTGAAACCTTGTGCGTTGTCTGTATTATCGGGCCGCAAGTATTTTCAGTCCAGAAACGCTAGCAGCAGATGGGGGGTTTATTTAAAAGACACTATAGAGCAACGAGTATCCCGCGACGTTTATCAACAAGCATTCCGCTGTATCTGATCAAATTATTGCGATAACGACTGTAAGAAAGAAGCATGTTTACCTCACAGTTCCCTTCAAAGGAGATATCGCTTTCGACTTAGTGAATAACAGACTATCGCTGGCGGTGAGCAAAACATATCTGGCCGCTAGAGTTCATATATTTGCTGAAACTGTTCCGATCATCACCCAACGCCTCAAAGATAGAATCCCGACTCGTTCCGAATCTTTGTTCTATAGCAATTCACCTGCACCTGTGGTGCAAGGTACCTCGGGCACACGACCAGGCGTCTATCTAGGCAGATAGCAGAGCACTGCCCCGCCTCTTTGAAACATGGTACGGTTAAAAATGTCCGTAGCTCGATCCTCGAACATCTGCTTAGTACCGGCCATCAGATTCGAACTGACGACGCATTCAAGATAGTCTACACGGCACTGAGGCGCAACCCCAAAGGAATCAGAAAGCGCTTGTTGGCCACCGCTGAAGCCATTGCAAGCAGAGAACACTGATACAGTCTATACTCTTGCCTTGGCCGTAATGTCGGACCGCGGTTACGACTGAAAATGACCATTGTAGACCTACCGGCCAACGCGTCTGTGCTTTGTGCGTGTGGGCGTCTTCGCTCGTGTTCGCGCAGCTCTTGACGTCTGACTGTATCGAGTGGAGTATTGATCGACTTCATTCAACCAATCACATCCACAGCCTTCGCTTACCTGTACGTTTACCTGTCTTGTAATTATAGTTGCCTGAAGTGAATAACCAAAAGGAGTTCTTCTCGCCAGTGTTATGCTTCTAATATCTGAATTGGCATAAGTAATGCGCTTTCCATTTTATCACCACCTCTGATGGAACATAGCTCGATACATCAGATGATATTTGTAAATCTTCCAGCGCTTATTTTGCCGAATCATTGCTTAATAAACTCACAGACACACCAGTACTTGATATGGCGCACAAAGGGGAAAGTTTATGCTCAGTGTAATTCACTGTTTTGAAAGCCACTGATCATATCTCGCTTGTGCTCCTCGACTTGTGAAGGATCTGGTGGAATCCTCCCGTTTAATAAAAACAGTGGTTATGACTTACCTTTGCTTTTGCTCAACTTCTTTACACTTTATTTTAGAAACGGGGTATATCCTACTCAGTCGAAGACTTCTGTCGTTATCCCGCAACACCAAAATGGAACCACTCACTAGCTTAAAAATTGTTATCCCATCAACCACACACCCATTGTATCTAGCATAATGGAAAGAATACTGAAAGGTGAACTATTTACCTTCTTGAACAAGGCCAACATCATCAGAAATTCACAGCGCGTTTTTATACAATATCGATTCTGCGCAACATATCAGACTTCTTAAACCACACAACCGCTGCTATAGACAACAGAAGCGCTGTTGTAGTCTTGTTCTCAGACATGTAAAAAACTTTTGTTAAAGTGCCTCTTCGGAAATTACTCAACAAATTGAAGGCAATAGACATTGAAGAGCCGATGTTTTCTTGCTTGTATTCATGTCTATTTGGTAGACAGCAGGTGGTGTGCATCGGTGACCATTTCTCTAAACCGAAAGCAGTCCCTATTAGAGTAATTCAAGGACTTGTTCTTGATCAACCTCTTTTTCTCATATATGTTAGCGATGGATTCCACGAATAAGACATGGTGCTACCCTTCTGTTTGCTGATGACATGCAAGTTGTTTACTCACAAGAACATGCAAATGACCAGGCAGCAGTACGTCTCATTCAGGATGACCTATTTGCATTTAACTTTTGGTGCCAACTATGGCACATGTCATTTCCCGTGGACAAGTGTAATATTTTGTCGTACAAATGCCAAGTATCGCCAGACAGTCTATTACTTCAGGGCACATTTCGCAACTTCGGCGTGCGATGTTCATCTACCTTCGACATTTCTGATCATTGTGTCTCGTTTCGAAGGCCATGAAGACCATCAGGTACATGTGCCATCATTTTTATCTCACGGAACCTCGCATATGGCTTTACAAAACACTTGTGTTCCCTTGTCTGAAATACTGCTCGTTGATCCAATCGAATCTGCGAAAATCTAATCATTGTGCTCTTGAGAGGGTCCAGTGACGTTTCACGAAAACTGTGGCCATTCCTCGAAGGTGACATACAGAGAACGTTGTGATAAGCTTGCATTTTACCTGATCTAGCTTCGGAATATGAAATTGAACCTGTTTTCTGTACAAAATCATAAACTATCTAATTCACAGTTCTGATGACGGCCTTCACATTTCTCTAAATAGCACATACCTGGTCCGCAGCAAAGAGATAAAGGCTACGATTCGAACATTTACTACCTGAATCTGAGAACGTTTACTTCTAGTCCACTACCCAAAGATTTGGAATCAACTTCCAAGAGTTATCAGAACATGCTGTGCACTGCGTAGTTTTCAGTTATTAGTATGAAGTTAACCGTCTAAAACACGATTAACCTGTTTAGAATATCACAATCCTTGGATAACGCTTTCGAACGTTCGATTACGCCGGATTAAATTACGAACAACACGTGTTGTGATTTCCGCTGATTGCACGAGTAATCTGCTGCTACCACGCAAGCTGACCGGTCGATTTCCCAGATTAGAAGACATCTCAGGCGAAAACTGTATTGCGCACCCGGCAAGCGGTATAAGCAAACCGATGATTACTAAGGGAATGGCTTAGTGCTCACTGGCGGGCCTCAAGCTAGACCGTCCTCATTGGCAGCGTTCACATTCCGTACCTAGATGCTTTAACAACCAAACGGTTTAATGCTGCCTGCATGCTCTGTGAGTCATCACCTAATAAGGTAATGTTCTCGGCATACATAAGTCCGTCGCTCGTTTACCCAGAAGTAGCTGCGGATCAAAACGCGGAGGTAGAGTGCGCTTACCATGGCAGTAGGCTCTTCTGGAACTCCGTTCCTTAGCAAGCAACGCTAAAGCGCAGGTCAGTCAACCGAGTCGAATGCTGCACGGGTGTCTAAGAATACGACAACGGTGGGCCAATGGAAAATAAGGTGGTGTTCGGGGATTTGGCGGAACGCGAAGATTTGATCCACACCCACGGTCAGGACGGAAGCCAACTTGTTCTTTCCGGGCTTGCGATTCACGAATCGGGGTTTGTTCACGAAGTGGAATGGGTACTAGTATCTTGGAGGCAACTGAAATGAGACTAATCATCCAATGATTGGGACTTGAAGTGAGAGGATCCTACTTAAAACTCGGGACAACAACTGATTCGCAATCAGTAAGAAGCGACCTTTTCCTCACGCCAAGTTTTTGAGAACAATGTATGTGGCTGAGTTATGATAACTGCGCCTCCATACTTGAACAGCTCCGGAGGAACTCCGTCGGAGCCGGCGGCCTTGAATCGTTTCAAGTGTCGAATCGCGAAGCAAAACTCTGCTTTACTGCATAATCAAGTGTGAGGATCCAGGGGGCGCGGCAGTCTTCGCAGGACATACAAGTTGACGGTAAGGGCCATCATCAATACAGGATAAGTGAAGGTGTTAAATACCTCACCTAATGTGCCGCCATATAAAAAAGGATAAGATATCAAATAATGTAGATTACAAGAACTATAAACGTTATACAATGCTGTATCTCATATTACGCATTGGGTATGAGATGGTAGTTGAGGGAGGCTAAGTGGGACGGGAGGAATCAAGCAATTTGCAACGCAAACACCATTGAATACGGATCTTCACCATATCAACAAGTGTATCCAAATAAATGCGTCTTTCCGACCCCAATCGGAAGACACTAATCAACGCCAAGTACTAAGTGAGGGAATTCATTCTTCTTGATCAAGTCGTCACTAGGCCTTCTCTCTTCTTCCATCCACAATCTGGTCGCGCGAATAACGCACGACTCTGGAGTTGGTGTGCTGGTATGCGTAATACTTGATAAGTCATATAATGGTGCTGAGCGGTTTACTCATTCTTCCTGCACCAACTGGGCGACGCCGAAGACGTTCATTGCTCACGTGGTGTTCCCATCAGACATGACCTAAGCTGCGAAAGCAGCTGGGAATGAAGATGTTCTGCCCACCGATCCAAGTATCTATTTAGGTTTGCGATCAGCTAACTATCCGCTTTGCATATAGTCTCGCTGACACCAGGCTTCCTGTGCCCATTAAATCAAATGATCTAAAAGTGCTTGCGAGTATTGCCAGAGAGGGCAACGGCCTCCATTCTCAAGGCACGGTGAGATCACCAAGTTTTATGATCACTGGGTAGGATATTTGAGCTGCTGTCAGACAGAAGGGCACACTTTATTATACTTATAATCCGCCGGTATATTTCCGCGGTGGTCAGCTAGATCCAGGGAGTGCTTGGAGATCCCGGCTTTCCTAGGGTGCGGAGGAAGATCACAAACTGACTGACTGCCAGGAAAAGATCATGATCTTCTACATAAACATACAGTGTTCATCAAAATCTTGCGGCTTTTCGCAGCGGAGTGAATCGGCCGGGGAATATTGATCGTCACCATCCTCATGATCATCAGCAGCATCGGCGGCTACAAAACACACATCATTTGTCTGACATCCTTCTTGATTGCTTGCACCTATGACTCCCATCAGTCACAACCACGAGCTGAACCTGACATCCGCTGTTTCTACAAGCGGGTGCTTTCCAGCAATAACTATATCGGCTCCGGGAGTTAGATCGTTGAAGAGGTTATTGCATTCATCGGTAAGGACCCACAGCTCTTCGAAGCTACGATCAGCGACGGAGGCGTTGCATTCATCAGCTTTCGGTAACACAGTGGTGCATTGTGCTGAGTGTTGCCGTACGTACATGAGGCATGTGTATCACATGTAGAGTACTTCAGGAGACTGACCACCTTGGATCATTCGTGCTTGCACAACATCACCCCCATGTAATGGGATTAATTGGGTCGCGGTGCTTATGTTCAGTTAGTATTTTGCGCCTAACTACCTGCCTATGCACTTTGCCATCTACACTGTTCGGACCACCTTACAATACCCTCCACACCACCACCTCGGTTTGTGTTATGTTTACCTGCTGCTACAAGATGACCAACTCATGGGACGAAAACGTGTGAAATATCTGGCTTGACTACGCAGTCAGGCTTGCCCCAGATTATTCCTACATGGAGCGATTGCGACACCAGTGGTGATGCTTTCACTTCACTGCTTCTGTCCGATCCTTCTTCTTTCCTTCTACAATTATTCTATTCCTTTGCTTTTCCCTCAATTTTCCGCATATTTGTATTTTTTCTTCCCCATTCACTTACTTGTTGTTATTAGCTACTGTTATGACGGTGCGGTCCAGAACTACTACCTGATTTACATAACTCAACTGGACTGAAGTGATTACTTTCTTTGTTTGCAGATACCACCGTGGATTCTTTGGACCAACTGTTTTGCCCTTTTTTGTTGTGCAGCTAACTAAATTGCACAGCATTTATACTTTGGCAAATACGTCTGCGTTTTCGGCACTAAACTGCTTGCCAAATTTATTATTTTTCCATCTTATTGCACTTTTTTGAGGTATTAGGAAGAGATCTAGGCTCTATGCGAGCTTTATTGCTGCAAGGGCGCCCAAACCTGGATGCTGCATGCCAAACATTTGAACTACTGCGTTACGAACCCTCATAAATTATTATTCTCATCCAAAATGGGCGGTGTTAGTTGTGCTCAAGCATTGTCTACCTATGCGTGCGTTTCCGGTGCATGAACTACTACTATACGATAAGTACGCGAAGCGACACACCTAATTTAGAACAGCAACCCCGTTGCTTTTCACGTGTTATACCAACACTTATTTGCGTTCTACTCACAATTTGCACAACACCGTTTTCGAAGTTCAGTCAGCAACACTTCCCCAGTGCCGGTTATTGTTCCTCCTCTTTAGGATCCATCACCTAAAACTTTTCCAATGGGCAATGAATTTGATCCCTTCCAGTTTTGCTGTGTTCGCAACGTATTTCCGGTACCACTGTTAGGTTTTCATTTTTCAGTGCTGCCGCGTTTATTGTGCTATCCACTAAAAACAGTTGTCAAAGCAGAAGCCCAAGCTCAGACTGACCACTGATATTCAGCTCCGTTACATCGAACCGTACGTTATCCTACGGGAATTGCTGTTTATCTTTCTTTTAGTGTAAGTGCAACCAGATATAACTATAACGAACGGGTTTTGTGAAACAAGCAGCTTGCCCGTAGACAAGTTGATCACTACTTCCTAATGAAACTCTTTTTCTTCATCGTCGTGCGATTATTTTTGAATGCTTTACTTTTTTCTCCTCAGTTTTGGCAGCTACGCGCTTTGCGGCCGCGGCCCCTACATGCATCTCGGAATGAAACCGCTGCTCCTGTGTGGTGTCTAGCCGATTTACTTCCCCATGAACCAGGGATTGCTAGGTGAGTTCAAGCTTTTGAGTCGCGTCTCTAGTCCACTTGGCATCAGTCCGTACTAGGCGTTGTTTTCCTGTATTATGGGATCTAGGATTCCACTTTTGTAGCGCAGTCGAGGATGGTCGCCTGCGCACTCAAATGGGATAGTTTTCAAAACTGTGCAATTTTGTGTGTCGCATTTATGTTATAACTCCAAATCTATGTTTTGCAAAGCAAACTAGAATAGTAACAAAGTTTCTCCTTGCCTACCTACTCGGGCTTCTCCTTACCAAAAGCCGCAGCATCCACTGAATGCCTAACTGCCTCTCCTTCATCGGAACCAGCGGTTTTCCTGTGATTTCGCCTAACTATTTATCGCTTGGTTGGTGAAATGCCTAATGTTCTAGTTTTATTTTGGATTTGGACTACACATCATTTTATTCATCCGATGACACTTGATCATAACTTTCTATTTATCTCAATGAAGCAAACTTCCAGTTAATGATGGTCACCTCGATCCCATCCAATAACCTATGTTGTACTGAACTCCTCCTTGTGCTGCTTCCTGGGTGGTTAAGGTCTATCCCGTTCCAGCAAATAGTTCGTTGGCATTGCCCCAGGGCGCAAACGTTTTCCCTTAACCACTAATATACGTTTAACCATATGCGACGTTGCATATGTGACTCTCTGCGAACTAAAGTCAATGTCCTTCGGTGGGTTGTTGTACTTGACCAAACCAAAAGTTTTGGACTGAAAAATCAGTCTTAGGCCCCCAATGGTTGTAATTCTCTCAGTTTGCTACATTGTAGATAGGTTATTCAGCCAAATGCTCAGGGTTGTGTTTCTTAAGCCGATTTACCCTCTCTGAAGAAATTATGGATTGCTCTGTACTGTGTTGGGTTTCCTTTTTACCATTGCTGTACCTTCCTTTGATTCTTATGGCTTTTTAGCTGGAAAATATCACATCTTGTAGGACGAATAACTCGCTAGTATCCACGGTAATAATAGGTTGCTCTTTTTACTGTTACCTCTTTCACTAGCTTTTGCTTGCACATGTTCATTAAGCCTCGTGAAACTGGCTGATATCTAAGTGGGCACTATCATTCCTGTGATCTTTGACTCAATTTATCGTGTATGGTTTCTCATAACATTAATAGGGTCGCCTAATTCTCTTCTATATCGACTGCCTTCTCCGTTGTATGTCGTTCGTCATTACTGCACATGTCTGGAGGGAAGCCTCAGCATGGTCCACCGATGACGCAGCAAAGCGGCATGAAGAAACTGACCATCTGACTCCATTGGGGCAGTGCATGTGCTGTCTTACTGTTGGTGCCTGCACAATCTGCTATTCTAGTACTTAGACATTGACCCAGCGCATTTGCAAAGCCAGTGGCACCCATCGCAATGAGGCTGGACCTTACCGTCGTGCGATGGTTTGCGTGTTTCAGAGATCCATTTAGCTATGCTGGCTGGTGCGTTTTTGCACTTCAGAGCCGCTCATACCAGATTGGTCAATGGTTAGAGGCCAGACAAACTCAGCCTCCTGGTCCTCCAGGTTGGGGTTTGGAATGAGGGTGGCTCCTTATTCCTTAAAACGGACTCCTTGTAGCCCAACGGCAAACCCGCTGCCTTGCGGTCAGCTTTTGGAACCAAAGGCTTTGGTTGAGAACGCTAATCGTTCTCCTGTCCGCCTGGGCAACCTGACAGTATCCTGCCCACGCAATACAATGAATTTCTCTTCAAACAGTTTCTTGACGCTCTGGCCACCGCAGAGGATAATCAACGGTGCCCTATCTGCTGCATCGAGCAGGGTGGATAGGGGTTTGGATGCTACTGCTCCAGCCTACCCATCTTTTTATTCCACCTCTTACACTTCTTCACTCTTACCGTCCCGTTCCAGCTTCACTTTTATCCCCACGGTTTTCAACCCCCCAATTCTTTGCCCCCCACCTTGCTTTGATAGGCTTTTACCTTTTAGTTTCAACTTACACGTGAATGCGGAGCGTCATTCCTGCCCTGTCGACAAGCCCATGTCCAACCAAGCAGCCAAGCCCAGTTCATCGGCTTCCATTTAGAGCCCTCGATCATCCTTCAGATTGGCATGCCTCAATGTACGCACATTGCTTCAGATCGGTCAACAGGCAGCACTTGCCCGAACCTTAGAGACTTTCTCGATCGATATCTGCTGCTTATCGGAGACCCGCCTGCAAGATTCGAGCTCAGTGTTCACTTTGCGATCCCCTTCAGGTGACACCAGCAGCACTCTCATTGCGCCTATCCGGTGACCATGCAGCTTCGAGCGCCGGCCAAGCCGGTGTTACTATGGAACTGAGTCTTCGAACTTAAGCTACTCTGGTTGACTGGATTCCAATCAGTAGCCGGTTGTGTGCAGTCCGATTGGCTGGCTCGTTCAAAGCGTCGAAGCCGTACGGGACTAACAGGTGTCTGTTCGTCATCGCTGCCTGTGCACCCTCAAACTAGCGATGATTCGGTGCAAGACGACTTCTATCGCCAATTGAACGAGCTCCTTCGCCACAGAAGAAGCTCGCACACTGTAATGCTGGCTGGGGATCTGAACGCTCAAGTTGGAAAATTATCCACTGATGAACTGCATCTGGGCGGCCAACATGGTGTAGGTTCCCGTAATGATAACGGTGAGCGGTTACTTCATTTGTGTGAAGATGCTCGCTTATTTCTTATGGGCACTAAATTCCGACCCAGCACTCGCCGGAGGGTGACTTGGCGCCCTCCAGCCTCGAATCAGCTATGGACGCAAATCGACTACATTTCGATAAGTGACCGATGAAAAGGCTGCGTCCAGAACTGTCGCTCGATTTGGAGCACAGGTATAGACACCGACCATGCACTTGTATGTGCTGACCTGCGGATGCGTTTTGGTGAACGCCCACGACGACGTTGTGAGCGCATTTACACCAGACAACTGGCTAAGCCAGCTCTTCTGAATGCCTATCAAAGTACGCTGTCATGTGAGTTGAGTAAGCGCTCACTGGATGTAATTGAAGCTCACTTGTCTCATATTCACCGGACCTTACTAGCAGCAGGCAAATCCTCATGTCTAATCGCCAACATGGACATGGGGTCTCTTCACAGTCTCTGGAACTTATCGATGCTCGCCGGCATATTCCGGCTGGAAGCGAACACAATGAAACTCGCAAAGATCTTCGGGCAAAACTCCGTGCTAACCTGAAGAGACCGCGAATCCTGGTGGTCTCATAGTGCATCAGAGATGGAAATGGCCGCTGCCCTTGGTAACTATCGTAAGTTATTCCGTCTGATACGGGAAACGGGCAACAGGAGACCTGGTGGTAATGAAACTATACGTGACGAGAGTGGACAGCCTATCCACAAGTTGTCAAAACGCTTGGAGTGTTGGGCTGATCACTGAAAGGCAATTTAATCGGTCGGAATTGTTAGATTTCTCTCCGACGACTGATCACCCCCGCTCCGTGGGCTGCCCCTTTGGTTCCACCCTCTCGCTCAGAAGTCAAACGTGAGATCGGACTGTTAAAGTTACTTATAGCTGCGGGATCAGATGATCTTCCTTAACCCCTTTAACAAATTCGGGGCGCTGCTTTTGTTGATGATTTACACTGGTTACTATTGAAATTGGGAGCAGCCAACTGTCCCAACGCACTAAGCCACTCCGTTATTGTGCCGATCTTCAAGGGACGCTCACGATCGGAATGCGGCAGCCGTAGTGGAATCAGTCTGATCTCCATCGCGTCCAAATTGCTTGCCTCTGTCATCCTTCACAGACTGACTGGCACTCGTGAAAGCCAGATTCGTGAAGAGCAAGCCGGATTTCGTCGAGGTCGTGGCTGCATTGACCACATCTTCACTTTGCGTCAGTTGTTGGAGCACCGTCACATATATTGTCAGCCCAGCATTGTCGTGTTCCTCGATATCACAGGTGCATTCGATTCGGTGGATAGACATGCACTTTGGGACTGTCTACTCAGGAAAGGTGTACCTGAGAAAGATGTAAATGTTATCCGAGCATTATACGCACGTAGCTCAGGCAGAGTGAGGGCTTGCGGCAATCTGTCGTCGCCCTTCAATATCTTCTGCGGTGTGAGACAAGGATGCCCGCTGTCACCTTTCCTCTTCAACTTCGCTATTGACGAAGTCATGGAAATCGTGTTCACAGGACACGACTTAGAAGGTGTGGATCTGCCCCTAGGAGAACAACTTCTTGACTTAGAGTATGCTGACGATATTGCGGTAATCTGTGTCAGCTCCAAATCGTGCCAAGCGGCTCTGGACGGATTAACACTGGTTGTCAACCGTTTCGGGCTTTACTTCGCACCCTCGAACTGCAAAGCGTTTCTTGAACATTGGCCTGGGCCGCGTCCTGCACTGACCCTTGGTGGGGATCAGCTGTAAGTCATTCAAAAATTCAACTACCTGGGAAGTTATATCAGCGCCTGTGTGATTGAAGATGAGATCACGAACCGTATAGCAAAAGCACAGGGCACTTTTGCTAACCTTCACCACTTATGGCACCAGCGTGACATCACTCTCGCCCTTAAGGGTAGAATATACACTGCAGCGGTACGTTCGACCCTACTGTACGGTTGTGAGACGACCCCTTAGATCAACAGACATAAAGAGGCTAGTTACGTTCGACCACCGGTGCCTTCGCAATTTAGCTCACATCTGGTGAGAACCCCGAGTAAGCAACAAGCGTGTTCGACGCCTTGTTTACGGCACAGGAAAAGGAGATGAACCGCTCAGGACCGTTATTTCACGCACCAGGCTCCGATGGCTCGGTCACGTGTTATGCATACCAGCCCACCGACTCCCGCGACGTGCGTTTTTTACGCGCCCGGGGGTGCATATAGAAGAGGAGGAGGGGTGGCCAAGCGATGGCTTGGTCGAGAGGGGTGAAGGCTCTCACTACGAAACTGGCCTCGGTTGGAGCGTCTCGGCTCCGCAGTTGGGGTCCGACAGACCATGAACACGTTTGGCTGGATAAACTTGTTGATATGGATAGGAGCCGGCCTCAGTGTCGTTCGTGCTGTGAGTTTCTTTGCCCACCCCATCCCTCTTAGCCTCCCTTTCCAACCACGATCTCACTATTTTGCGTAGTAAATTATTTTTTCTTCTGCATAGTAACCGTCAGGTAGCTTACCGGAACGATGCCCATCCGTTACCGGTAGCTCAACTGGCTTGCACCTGTTGCATTTTTCTCTTTTTTCTTTTATGTATTGCGGCACAGTAGCTGAGATGTTTCCCACCTCTAGCTAACGTGTATAATGATGATAATATGAGCCAGTGGCACTCGTGCATTACTTGTGCTTCTCTCTGCTCTTTTATTCCTCTTGCCTCGAAGTCCCAACTCTTTGTTTTCTCCCTTCAGCTCGCCAACTCATTCGTTCTCTTATGTTCGGTGTGTCGGTGGTTGAGGCCTAATCGGTTAAACTAATTGGGCTAGCTAACAGTGCAGTTCGTGGCCGCAGAGCTCACTTTCGAGGAATTACTTAGTAACTGATCAGTTTTAGGTTGGCGATATCCTTTATTTTGCCAGCGATAATCCAACGGTCAAAGTAAGGGAGATCAACCTATCGTTTTTCCGTTCTATGCTATTAACTTTTAACAGCGATGCCCCTTGCAAAACGAGGCATGCCCAACGAAATTTTGCAAGACAGAGCGTTGGACTAAAGAACTGGCGTTTGCAAGCAAACTACTTGCTGCGGACTTGATTCTAGTCCAGACTACGTCACGATGGACAGTACTTCTATTAGTTGATGTGGTCGCTCTGTTGCTCAATCCCCAAGGAATGGTCATACCTCTGCACAAATTGATGCCTATTACCCTCAGATCATTAGTTCATCATATACGCTAATTGCAGGTGGAAAACACCTCAGCTATTGTACCGCAGTACATTAGAAAATAAAAATTGGGGAGTGGCGCGCCAGCTGAGTCACCATTATTGGATGGACATCGTTCCCGGAGAGTTGACAGCCGGCTATTGCGCCGGCAAAAGTCTTATTATGCCTATAAATTGAGATCGTGGTTGGAGGGGGAGGCTAAGCGGGAGGGGGACGGACAAAAATACTTGCAACACAAAGGCCATTGATGTCGGCTCCTAGTCATGCCAACAAGTGTATCCAGCCAAACGTCTTCATCGTTCTTCGGTCCCCAACCAGGGAGCCGAGAGGCTCGAACTGAGGCCAACTTAGAAGTAAAGGTCTTCATTTCTCTTGACCAAGTCATCGCTTGGCCACCTCTCCTTTACTTCCATCTGCACCCCCGGCCCGCAAAAACGCATGTCGCGGAACTCGGTGGGCAGGCATGCGTAGTACGTGGCCGAGCCATCGAAGCCTGGTGCGTGGAATAACGGTGCTGAGCAGTTCGCTTCTTCTTCGTGCGCTATCTACAAGGCGTCGAACACGCTGATTGCTCACACGGTGTTCCCACCAGATATGAGCCAAACTGCGAAGTCACCGGTGGTCGAACATAACTAGCCTCTTTATATCCACTGATCTAAGGGACCATGTTTCACAACCGTACAGTAGGGTCGAACATACGGTTTCATTGTACACCCTACTCTTAAGCTAGAGAGTGATGTCGCGCCGGCGTGACAAGCAGCATAGGTTAGCAAAGGCGCCTCGTGCTTTTGCCATGCGTTTTGTGACCTCGTCTTCAATTCCAATTGCCTAGGTAGTTAAACTTTTTAACGACTTCTAGCTGATCCTCACTTAGTGGGTACAAAGCATGGCCCGAAGCGGTTGACAGCCAGTGCTAATATGTCCAGTGCCGCTTGACACGTTTGTGAGCTGTCCCATGAGAGTAACTCGTCAGCATACCCCAAGTGAAGAGGTCGCTCACATGGCAGCAGCTCCACGCGTTCTAAATCGTGTCCTATGAACGCGATTTCCATGACTTCATCAATAGCGAAGTTGAAGAGGAAAGGGGACAGCAGTGTCCGTTCACTCTCGCTTTGCGCAGCCCGCTGCACTATCCGCAAACGGGACTGTCCAATGAAAATGATTAGTATTCAATAAGTGCGGTCTAATCTACCTAGCTTTGCCAGGTAGACACTAGTGTTATGCTCCAGAACTGCTGCGTTGGTGGTTTTGTCAAGCACCATTTAGGACAATTTTGTTATCGTCACAAACCGAAGCCGCGAGTCCACACAGCAAGGCTGGTCAGTGGTGAGTAATGCGTCCTCGGATACCTATGACTTCACATTTTAGCTGCTCTTTGCTCATTCTTTTACACTATTATCACCCTCTGTTGTGTTTTTTTCACAGGCCGCCTAAACTATGTCTCCAGATGTATTCATTGTATACTGCTGCCAAAACAGACCCCACAGTTTGTACTGTGTGTCCATGGCGTCTCCTGAAACCGATTGCTCAACGGCTGGGTGTTCACAGTTTGGCAGCTGTGGGGAACAGTCGAGGTTTTGTCCAAGTACGTTATACCCCATGTCGTTACTTTGTGTTTAGTCTATTTTGTAGGTAAACCCCATATAGCGTTGCTCTGTTGCCGTAACCGTTTTAAGTCAGCCACCCGTTTCTCCGTATTGGCTAGCTTCACCTTGATTTAATACAGTAACCTAACATCCGCCGATATTTTTCGCTCTCAGACATCCTTAACCGGAAGCTATTTTCTTGAAGCAAAACGAACTGCCGCGACGAGTTTGATTGGTTTACCCATTGTATACTTTGTTATATACAGTAACTTGGTAAAGATCAATCCGAGCTTTTGTCAAACGAATGTTTTCACCAATACTTTTCTTTCTGATAGACTTTTATCATTGGTATTTATTTGGGACTATTTTCTTTACTTGGTTATGTTCCAGAAATTCCGTCATCCGCTTTTCTACCTCTGACCATCTGTGCTTCGCAACAATAGCTTCATCAACTGTGCATCCCACAATTGCTGCATCAGATTGCACTCCTCACCTTGCAGCCAAAGGATAGCGTTTCTCTCTCTCGCTTCTCTACGCGTTCCTTCTAATATTCTGTCTTGCTAGTCGGCCGATGGCTGAAGGTATTACAAGCTCGCCTTGTAATTCGAAGGTCGCCGGTTCGAATCCGCGTAGGTGCGGTTGACCTCGTGGTACACCGAGCCCACCAGCATTGGGCACCAGTCGCACGGCAGCTAATCGTCGGTACGATGTGCAGACGTACTGCCAATGCCTTTGGATAAAAAGCACAACCGTACGGCCCCTGTTCCTCGATTATATCATCACCTCTGGAAGTGTTGACAAATATTTCCTACTAAGGCTGTCGCTGGAAACTGGCTTTTCTTTATATGTATGTACTGTCATGTGTCGGTTTTCTAGCAATCAAGTCAATCGCCCTATGACCTTTAGGATAATTCGCTTACCTTGTAATTCGAAGGTCGCCGGTTCGAATCCGCGTAGGTGCGGTTAACCTCGCGGTATACCGAGCCCACCTGCGGTCGGCACCGGTCGCGCGGCTGCTAATCGTCGATACGATGTGCCGGCGTACTGTTGATGCCTTACGCCGTTATATGACTACATAGAAGATCGGCCCTTCATGTTGCGCCTACTCATTAGGCTACTACTATTAAGAGCTGTTGGTATCTTTTCATACCGCGTAAGCAGCAGCTGACAACCCGATGCATATTCTTTTGGACGTACAACTATTCTTCTAGTTTCACAGTACGGGACTTTATATTCGTTCATTTATGGTGTCCGTGAACTACTGGATTTCATAGCAACCGTCTATATCCTTAGGATAACTATGAGAGATGGGTGCTGGCTGCTCTTTCCAATTTTCCTATTATCTTCGCAGATGCACTGCGACCGCAATGTGAGTGTGCTTAAACGGTTCACTGTTTTGTAACGACAACTTTTCATGAAGGAGATGGGTCATCGACCGTTCGTTTTGTGCTCATCTGCCGTTTTTATGCATAAGTGCCACACCCATAGGCTCTTACCAGACTAGCATAAGCAATTCGCTTCTCTTATCTCTCCTTAATCGCGCCATGTTGACGTTTTGACCGCTTTTATCACGGATCACATTAAATTATGGGCATATCATTGAAGCCGTTTGCATATATTTACTGAATCATTTGCAACGATTGCACATTTGTTATTCACACGTGTTTATATTACCCCGTGGCTAGGTGTACATCCTTCAGATCATTTCGTCATTCAAAATAAACGTTAATTCTGGTTTCATTCTCGGTAGTTAAGCTCTATCCCACAAACATTTGAGAAATGTTTCCCTCTTGTTACAAACTGCTAAAGTTGCTTAACCCTTCTTTTTACCTTCCAGATTTGGGACATTAACTCGGGAATTTTGTGGCGAGAGTATCAGCTGATACCTGCCCCTATATTTGGCATTGAATGGCTCACCATTCAAGCAGAATCTCCTAGTCGCCCGAATACGGCAGTTACTGCACTCACTCTGTGTCTCATCGTTCACGGCTGGCAGCCTAAAGATGGGGCTTTTATCAATGCCCAGATGGCACCATTTGTGGAAGCGACCAAACTGGAAGTTAAAAATTACATCGCATTACTGAATCTTTCTACTGGTTGTGCAATCCACTTCAGAGACTCGCTTAGTAAGATTTCTCCCGACTCTGGCCTTCTTCCCAGCTCTCTGGGCTCAGGTTCTGTGATCAGTCGGAACTCAATCTCTCCTACGGGTTCGTCTTACGAGGAACCCATCGACATAGCTCGTGTTAGCCAATCGGGGTGTGTTGATTGCTAAATCATGTGGTTTAATCATGCCCTGGAAATTTGAAGCTCCGTTACATCCATCCTTTTTGTTCATTATAATCGAGCATTAATGAACTGTTTTACTGTTCCATTAGTCATGTTTTAAGTAGGCACCACCTATCGATCACTTGCGATCCATGTTCTTCTGATCTCTACTTTGCAATTACACCTATACTTCTAGTCCGGATCGACAACTATGCCTTCCATTTTTTCTGAATTTAACCTGCTTCGCATTTACTTTCTTTTCAGTCGTTATCTAGCATTACTAGTGCGTAACACTTGCGTTGAGCTATGGAATACGAACACTCTCAACATGATGAAGTGCATTCCGTTTACCACGGCATACTGTGGTGCCACATTGGTATGTTTTGCCCGCGAATTTCCTATCCTTCCACTTTTCAAGTATGTCTATTTTGACTTCTTACAGGAATGTGCGATTCGTTAAGCTTAGTATCAGTTGATCTCTTGAATGACTTAACCATACTCTACACAGCATACATCGAGCGTGTTATACTACTATAGGTTTTTTAGTACCCACTTCTCTCTACACATGCGTTGGAACAGTCTCGCACACTGGATAAATTTAAATAATTTTGCTATTATTGGGCATAGTATCGGCCTCATTGATGCCCTAGAAGTTGAGATCACACGTGTGCCTCCGTGCCTACAGTTTATTACCCATATAACCCATCTAGCTTCATATATTCTCAAACGTAGAATTTGTACTCTCGTCTTGCTGCTGCGAAGCACACAATTTTGAGCCTTCTTGTTATTGAACCCACCAGCCAGTGGACCGCTGCTTGTGTCACCCACTCATTTTGTAAACTGTTATTCAGCATGTATGCATTTATCTAGCCAGGATCATTTCCACCGTCCTCGTTTTAGCTTCCTGCACACCGTTTGCGGCATTGAGGTTTGCATAATGTGTATGCCGTCTGTCTCACCTTCCCCCCTTTGGTAATTGCAATGTTCACTCCCGCAGTATTTCTCTAACTTGACATTGAAATCACCCATTTTTAAACATTCGCAGTTTCAGTTTTTCCGCACACAAGCCATCACCTCTAATACTCTACTTTCTAACTGTAATTCTGATGATCTCTGTTCAGTTAAACAACTATGCTCCGGATAAGGAAGTGCGGTGGATCCATTTGCCAGACGTACATCGCCAGTGTAGTTTTAAACAGCAACGTTCACAAAATGAGGATTCTGACAAATGGAATACAATGAAAATAGAATCAGGGAAGTAGTGCGCAAAACTAATCTGGATGATGTTAGCATTAACAATTGTATGCAAGAACCCGAATACAGAATTGGCACCGACTACGAAAATGCGCCATGTCCGATTAAACTTCCAACCGCATATGCCATCCTGTGGCCCCTATCCGCAAAGGCCACATGCACCAGTCTGGCCAATGCTCACGGTCACTTTCGTCATACTGTTATGCTGTGTCATAGACTAGTCACTTCGCGGTTTCACCCGATTAGATGCAGTGACGACGTCAATGCACGTCGTGGAACGCGGTCAGCCAGCATACGGGTGATGACCTAGCTAACGTAAGCGGTTAGGTTTCAGGAAACACTCGAGTAGAGAACCAGGGGGTTTCTTGCCAGAAATCAACTGGCGTACCTCAGAATTGCTCACCCGGATATCCCACCAAACATGAGCAATACTCATCAAGCACCGGCTATCACAGATGGTCAATATTTTAATGTTTCATTGTTAACTGGCCAAACCTCCGATTCATACAGTAACATCAGCCTTATCGCAGCGTTATTCACTCTATATTTCACCAAGAGGCGGACACCACACCGTCTTCACAGATGGTTGAGCCTCTGAAAATCCACACGGATCTCGCTGATACCTAAAATGACGAGACCATCAGATTTGACACAACTACCAAGTTAACTGAACCGATCCACCACTTCCAGTGGCTGTTCGGTGATGGGTTGAATCGGTGCAGTACCGATCCGGTCCTGCAACGGTACAGAAGGTGCGAAGCACATGTCGAAGCGTGCAGCACTACGCATCAGTCTATTTAATAGTCCTCGCATACTCACTGCGTCTCAAACAAGGAAAGCTACATCGTCTACATACTCAAGGTTTGTCAACCGGTCGCCAGGTAGAAAGTTTGAAAGAACAGAGCCATTCACGATCATTTCGGTCGAAACGTTGAAGCGGAAAGTAGATATAAGACAACCCTGCCAAAGCCCATTTTCTGTGATGAACTCAAGAGACCATTTCTTGTAGACCCCTACCATGATCTACATCTGAGCCGAAAACCCGTAATGATAACGGTGATTACACCTATGTGAAGATGTTCACCTTTTTCTCGCAATCACTAACTGCCAACAGCACCCTTCGCTGGGTCACATGGCGATCAATAGCCACGGGCCCAAATCGACCAGCTCGCGATTAACCGCCTTTAGTGAGTCTGTTTACAAAACTGCCGCTGGATTTGGAGCACAACCGTGTGTTCTGAGCATGCACTTTTATGTGCCGATCTTCAATTGCGTTTCGGCAAAAAACAACTACGACAGCAGTACATCAGCCATTTGAACTGATGCTTCGCTGCCATACAACCATGATGACCTGAGAAATAAAGAATAATAAGAGAGAGAGAAGGGGGAATTATCTGAAAACCTTAATGCCCTAAGCAAACATTCAGGCTCAAGGTGCCTACACTTTGTGTAGACAATATACCGTCATAAACAGCTGGCTATCGTGCAACGATAAGGCGGCATCGGCGAGACAGCTTCCTTGCGGCTTTCACTGCCACGCGTCATAATCGGCTGGTACACTGCAGAGAACACAGACTACACACACTTTAAACAGGCAGTCCGACTAGGACACGACAGCAGACGCGCCACTGGTGTCGGTTGCGAACGATGTCCTGTAAAGTCTCGAGCCAAGCAATAGGCGAATCACGTGGACTCCAGCCCGGAAGACGAGATGGGCCAACGGCACCCAGTTTGGTTGTCAGTGACTTCATTTCCTGTTGCCAAGTTAACTTCTTTCCGCCTCGAGCTTTGCGCAACCCTACATCTGTCAGACTAAACACGGTCCTCCTAGATAAGCAGTGACGAGGCATACGTAGCACTTGGCCGAGCCAACGCAACTTATTCAGAGCTATCTGTAGCATGATTATCACTACCTAGTACTCACCTATACACATCATTGTTGCGGATACGCTGGTGCCATCCGACAACAGCAATACTTCGCAGTCAGCGATGATCAAAGACTTGAAGACGCCTCTGATCTTCAGTCCGAAGGGGCCATGTCTCACTATCATAGAGCAGAACGGCCCTCACTGTGGCCTTTCATACCTGGCCTTTCAGGCGGAGAGAAACTCCCTTCTGTCGCCAAAGACGCCGCACGTTCAAGAACGCAGCTCTGGCCTCTGCAATGCATGAGCTGACGTCAGTTTCTATGCACCCATCGTTGCGGATACAGCTGCCAAGATAAGGGAATTGATCAACCACCTCGAGTTCCTCGTTAAAAAGGGTCAAGGTGTCAGAAAGTGGCTGGTGGTCCTGAAGGAACACTTTGCACTTTGAAGGTGCGAAGTGCATACCAACTAATGGGGCCACCTTGATCAGCTCTCCTAGTCCATGAATCCTGTGCAAGTAACAGATTTATGAGACAAGATCGACTGCGTCTGATACCATGTTGGACCTTAGAAATTATTTGCAGCATTTCAGGATAACGCCTCAGTTCATCTGTGATTACCGATTTCATCCATTTTGATAAAACAAGTGGGTGTGTAATAGGTTGGTAGTTGGCAGGATCCGATCTCTTACCTTCCCTCAGATGGGAGTGTATGGGAGTCATGTCATTTTACTGACATTTAGTACCTCGTTTCTCTGGTGTTCTCTGTGCCAGCTTGTACACAGCGTGCTGTTTCAGTCTTCGACTGTCTCCTCTCTTACCGAGATGCCCAGTGATCGGAATGGCACTGGTTTGCTCCAGAATAAACTGCGACCCCAGTTGAGTTCATGTGTCGCAATCCAGACCCGTTATGGATACCCCATGACCCAACGATAGACTTCTAAATTAATTCGTCGGTGGTTTCTATCTACATTTCATCCATTGGTTACAAATGCAGCCTACGTCAGACAACGGTGTTTTCCTTCACTTTTCTTTTATAGATTCCACGCTATTCACCTCTCTGCTTTATGTGAAGTACTGCATGTATATTTCCATTCCCAGGATTGGCACCACTCTCCCACCACTTTCGCCGAATTGAATCTGACTCGGTTTTCGGACCCATTGATTGGGCATTACCATTCGAAGTACGTCTTCTGCTGAAAGTTGACACACTTCGTCTACTGTGGTTGTCTGTTTCTCAGTACTCAGGTTAATTTGCGTGCAATGCTTTGCACAGTTTGGTCACCGGCCAATACCTGGCAGCGGACTTTCACCTATTCGTAAAATGTGTCCAATGGAGTTACAGCCGAACATACAGAGCCCTTTCTGAATAACAGTGAAAATCGCTTTGGGATCACTAAAATAACAGGCGATCAAGGAACAAAACTATATGCTACTATCTTATCATTTGTTGCATTTTAAAATAATGAAAATTGAGGGCTGCATTTTAATTTTTGACCGTGTAATCACACTGCCAATTAGTACACCTGCGCGAATCCTACCTAGCCTGATCCATCGTGGCGAAACTGAACCTTGAAGGGGTGCGGTGACTCGCGCGGTCTACTGGGGTACGCTTGGTGAAACTGCCCAAGGGCCTTCAGAACCGCCCTTGGGGTCACTCTAATGGTTTTTAATGTAGCGCACCAATCACTACATCCTCTTCGCCGGAAATTGAAAGGAACTGCTGGTTAGCTTCTTTGTAATTTTAGCCGGGAAACGCCGCCGTCTACGGCTACATTGGATGCGGATTTTGTCTGACTGTGTGAGAGCACCCCTTGCCCATCGTTTTGCTGCCGCCCCCCTTAACCCGACTGTTCTTGGTCTAAAATGCATACCCACCGATTCCTACTCACGGTTGATCGTGGTCGCAGTAGCATTTTTACGGCAGTCGAAACGCGCACAACGAGGACTGAGCCCCGAGGTTATGCGTAACTGGACTCAAGCAGCTCCTTCTGGGTCTCAACGGTCTCACTCCCGAGTTAGACGGGCTCCAAACTTTTTTTATCCCAACCGTTAAGTCGAAAACTGTCGGTGTGTTAACACTAACGAAATCCATCGAAGAGCGTTTTCTCCCCAAATTTCTCGTCAACAATCTTTCCTCCCTCCCTTTTTTCCGTAATTCTTGTTTCTCAACAAGACTCCACTGATGGCTTCATGAACCACGGTAGCATGTCAGGTTACTTTCACATTATACGTTCCCATGGTAGCCGGTCGATTTTCCCCGTTCATCTTATACCCGGTCGATTAATACTCGTCGTTTCATCCCTAGATCAGATCTTCCGCCTTCCGTTTCATATCCCTTCTTTTCACGCACTTGAGTGGGAGGTCGTTCTGCGTAATATCATTATAGAATGGAACTGGTTGATATCGCATCACTAAATGTCACTACCCCGTTTATTGTCACACACGCATCTTCCCCGGCTATTTTCGTCAACTAATATTTTGACCGACCATTGCTAAAGTATGAGTTAGTTCCAGATTATGGTAGCTCCCCTTAATGTAATTACTCTTTTTAAAACGCTTCTAGTCGCCTATAACAATATGTTACCGCAGTGAAACATGTTTTATACGTAGGTAAATGGTTTGACTAACTTCACAGAATCAGATATGCTTCGTAAAGTAAATACTGATATGAATGTGTATGTATATTCTGACTTTTAGATAGGCGATGCGGTTTACTCGACCATAATTATGCAGCGCACGCTGCGATCGTTGTCGCAACAGTGTGTAAGCTTTTTTAGGGGGCCTTTGGCAACTGATTAACTTTGCAAAAGGGTCATCAGCAGTATGCCGGTACGCAGTATCGACGCTTTGCTGCGGGTCGCGCGTGGGCTAAAGATATTACCAGGATTGCCCGGTTCCCTATGCAGACTCGAACCCGCGATATGAGGATCACTAGACACGGCCACGGTCAGGCATACCTTGTAGAAAGGTGACAGATTGAAGCGAAATGTCATTCTTGGTCTCAGCTAAGGAAAGTCACCTGGTTGGGAGACTTCATAGTATACTACCTTGTAGACCATAATGGCAACCGTCGCATATCTTTGTTATGTGCACTGTTTCTTCGGTGGCATCAGGATGCGCTCCTTGCATAACATGCCTAAGGGCCATTTCGAAATCCGTAATAATGATAGCTGCACCGTCCATTTTCAGCTGTTTGCTGGCAGCAATCAGGCGGCTGTACGTGTCTCCTAGCTTGTCTTGTAATAAGCAGTGCACTCTAGCGGGGCTCAAAACACATCGTGTGGGACGCTTTTTGAAGGTGCCATCCATCAGCCAAACTGAAGCCTTCTTAATCCATTTAATACATGCGCACTTCCCGGATTGTTTGCTCTTTCACCAAGTTGTACGTATCCATACAAAATATGATAACAACCGTCTATTCGATCGATATAGAGCCATCGAAGATCGTGGTATGGATGTGCGCGATAGGTACGGACATCGCAATGAAGGAAACGGGATAAAATTGTTATTTTTGTGTTTTTAACGCACTTTTTTGTCTGTTCTGCAATTTAGTGGTTGCGACGTTGATCAGTGAAATCACTGCACAAACCCATGCAAGTCTTCCATTGAGCCGGATTCCGCGTCATCTTCAAAGGTTTCCGGTCAGCCCGTAAATCGTACAGGACCACTATCTGACCAAGGATGAAACTACACAACGATGCTATTGATATCACAGACTAGCGAAATCTGCTCGTACTTTGGAAATACGGAAAAAGTCTTTTCCAGTGGTGCCATCTGCAGAAACGCAGCTCCCAAGGTAGCTAAAGCTATGTATTTGTTCAAGCTGCGTACCTTTAAGAATTAGCACTAAACAGTTGGATGACAGTGTTGGAGCAGTACTTTGCATTTCGATGGAGCGAAGATTATGCCATACTTGGTAGCTTCAAACGCTAAGCGGTTTAGCATGACTTGCATAATCTTCGGGTCATCATCAAGCAAGTAAATGTTATTGACATTTTTCAATCGGTCGCGCGGTTTCCTGAAAGAAGCTCTATGCCAGAACCACGCATCTTTCAAAACGCTTAATAGCGCATCCTCAATAGCAAAACTGAAGGGAAATGGGGACCTAGTGTGTTCGTCTAGTGACGGCGAAAGATGAAGCCATCACTCTGCTCGAGACATTATTCTATACTGCAGACAACGCCATAAAGCAAGGCAATCTACCGACTCGGATGCAGTTCGAATGTCCAAAAAGGCGATAATGGTAGGCTGGTCGTAAAGGTTACGCTGCCCAAGGATTTGGCGGAACGTAACCATATGATTTGCGCACTCTCGACGCAATGACCAGCCTGTTCTTCACAGTAGTCTTGAACTCGAATCAGTTTTAGCCTGCGGAGTCGAACGGATGTGACGGATATTAGGCTGATTACTCTGCAGTTGGCGCAAAAGTAACCGGCATGCTCTTTGAAGATCGGTACCATAATCAACACGCCCCAATGAGATGGATCCTTTTCTTTACCTCAAATCTTGTAAAACAGAACTGTGAACTCATTGACAATTGCCTCGCCACTTTGCTTGTGCATTTCCGAAGAAGTCCATCTGAGCCAGCAGTATTGAATCACTTCAAGTTATGAAGCTACAGGAAAGTCTTCACTTCAGTGCGTGGTTCCAGTGAAACTTTACAAGGCGTGCAATCTGCCATATTTGTTAGCCGCCGGAAGGAGGAAGCCAACTGAATTGAGAGTGAGTGTTCAGCCCAGACGTCCATGCACCTACCCAAATTTATGATTAGTGACCAATCAACCTCTCAAATAACTTCACTGACGTCAGATCTTCTGTGGCCAGGGGTCCGAATAATCTAGAAAAGCTTGCCAGAATTTCCAAAATTGGCTGCTGTCTCCATGTCTGAATCGCTCAGAGATCACCAGATCTTTAAGTCATCACGCAGGTTTCGCTTGAGTTGTTGGTTGAGGTTAAAGCATGCTTCATCGCGGCTTGAATCAGCTGGGATAGCTCGGCGACGGTCATTTAATTCAAAGGAGGGAGCAGAGATCCATCCTCTCAGAGGGCGCCCTATCGTTCAACAGAAACATTAACGGGATGAAAGCAACGGATTCAAGAAACTCCAACGATGTTCGATCTCTTGAGGTGGAGCACTAGCGAACTCAGCTGATGAGGAGTATAGATTATCCAGTTGAATAGAGGTTTTGGCTAGCTCGTTGATATGCAGCTTACGGTGCTTTGGTTTTGAGGAACCCCCGAAGCTCATGCAGATATCCGCACACACCAAGGCGTGTTCTGAGTCGAGGTAGGTTGACCAGATCGATCGGTACTCCCGTACGCTACCCCGCCACCTGAAGCTGATTGCAATGTGATCATATTGTGACCACACTTGCGTTGTCTCATCGAATTCCTGAAGTTCATGCAATAGGCCATTGTCTTCATCATCCTCATCATGAGCATGACGGTCGCCAAGATAGGGTTCGCCTGGCAGCAGGCGACCCACCATTGTCTGGCAAAACGACGGCATCGAATTTTTCAGCTTTACTCCAAGGCTTGTGCAGTTCGAGGTAAACGTTATGCACAACCGCAGTCGGTTGGAGTCTAAGGAGAGCTCACAAGCAGCGTTTTTATCCACCGTGTATGTTAATCCTGCATGAGCCTTGAAGCCGAACCACACACAGTCGACTGTCAATCGGAAGTAACTCGAGTGTCGAGGCCTCGGCTTTGTTACTCAGTGAAATGCCAACACCAGCCGTAGCTGCTTCTGTGTCGCCAGGCAGACGCAGGAAATAGTTGGTTCGGAGATCAGAATGGCACCTCAACTTATTCACGGTGCTGGAGTCTTGTTATCGAGTCTCTGAAAGGCAACACATCGATAGCGAGTGACTAGGTCGGCCTGCTGCCGGCTCTGCATGGGGTTCGAACATGCAGACCCACCAGTCGGAATGATGATCGGAGTCGAATAACGGCCGCTCGCCGAACGTTTTGGACTTTAACAAAGCTGGCACAGAAGATAGATTCAAACGAACGTGCATTTTTGCCGAAGATAAGATGTGCGTGTGATGACGATGCGTTACTGGTGAAGAAGGCAGGAGCAGAATAAATCGACGTAATATTATATCCGGAATCCATTGTTCTGTCAGAGGGCGAGATAATACCCGGTTCCAAAAGCCGGGGTATGGATTTGTCTTCATGAAAA